CAGCTGCGAGCAGCCTCTGCTGCACCGGGCACCCTCAGTGGTCCAGGGACCATGTTCAATGTGCTGGAGAAGGGGGTGACTCAGGGTGATTTCTCATCCCTCTTCCTTCTTTCTGCATTGTCAAGTGCAATTCTGTATTGTCCCGTTCTCTGTTGCTCATGGGAAGCTTTCCTGGAGCCCCTCCAGCCCCCTGGGTTGGGCAGCAGCAGGCAGCCTCTGCTGCACCGGGCACCCTCAGTGGTCCAGGGACCATGTTCAATGTGCTGGAGAAGGGGGTGACTCAGGGTGATTTCTCATCCCTCTTCCTTCTTTCTGCATTGTCAAGTGCAATTCTGTATTGTCCCGTTCTCTGTTGCTCATGGGAAGCTTTCCTGGAGCCCCTCCAGCCCCCTGGGTTGGGCAGCAGCAGGTCGGGAAGGTCCGTGGGTCCCTCAGGCAGTGCCCAGGCGAAGGGGGAGGCAGGGGCTGATGCAGAGCTGGCTCCTCGTGAGCAGCACAACTTCAAAGCCCATGTCCTTAGCCATGGCAGGGACATGCAGGGGTTGTCAGGGAGGAAAGAAGTCACTGGTCTGGGACTGGAGCCGATGGAAGCTCTGCTCCTGTCTTCTTCAGGCTGCCAGGAATAGAAAAGGCCATTTTCTTGCACCCTGGGACATCCCAGGGGCTGCAGGGATGGTGGTGCTGTAGCTGCAGCAATAGATACCCTGGTGAAACCAGGCAAGCGGCACAGGATTGTGTCTAAAACCAAACAGCTCATCAGGAGCAGCCTGGAGCAGCCATGCAGTGAAGTGTCTGTGGTTTGTTTGGCTCAACCTGCCCTTTGCGCTCTAGGAAGGTAAAGCAGGGTGCCGGGAAGGGGGGAGCATTGCACCCAGGCTCCCATCTGCCCGCAGGGACCCCAAGAGGCACCGTCCCCGGTCACCCCGCCGCGCTGGTGACCACTTTCCTACAGCGAAGGGTTCCTGGGCCGGGGGCAAACAGCCTGTGCCGAGTTAACATTCCCCCCCAGCCCCTTCCCTGCTGTCTGGCAGTGATGGAGGACGTGCTGGGGGCTGGATTTGGATGGGGAAGAGGGGCTGGGGGTGTTGAGGCATCCTCGGTAGCTGGAGGGCTCCTAACGTTACCGAAGGATGAGGAAGGAGCCAAGCGAGCGTCTGCTGGGACTGCGTCTCTTGGTGCCTGCGTTCCTGATACCAGGGCTCCTGCATACTTTCTCCGAGACCACAGCAGAGCTGCAAAGCACTTCCTTTTACCAGGATATTTATTACTAAACATATGAATCTGGGAGCCTGTGGAGCGTGAAATTAGGAACAAATGTAAAAAAGAGGTCTAGACAGGAATTGTTCTGCTTATGGGCCTCCACATGCTCTGCTTTCCTCCCACTTTGCACACTGGAGACTTTAATGCTTCCAGGTACGCGGCTTTAATCAGACAAGTATGTTACGGGAGAAAGAAAAAAAAGAAGGAAATGCAAATGGTCTTGCTCTGGATGAAGCGGTGGCTGCGATGCCACGTCTGGCTGACCGCAGCTGGATGGAAACCATGAAAATTGGTTCTGTGCGACCCTCTCTGTCCCCCTGGGGCAGGCAGTCATTTAATTAACCAGTGAGGAAGCGGAGGAGCCCTCCCTGCCCGAGCCCAGCCTGCTGCCCTTCATCTTGGGCTGGCAAGGATGCTGATCCCCTGGGATGGGCACAGTGCGCATCTCTGAGAGGCCACGGGGCTGAATCCGGCCAGCCCAGAGCCGGGTCCTGTGCCTGCCCTGCATGCACCTGCCCTGGCTCCGTGGCACTATGGGGATGGCAAATGGCAGCAGCAAAGGACCCACAGACGGGCATTTCCAGCCGGCTCTGCTGGGGCAGTGCCCGCACCGACGGCACTCCGTCCCTCTTTAAACGGCAACTAAAGTTTCTAAATCCCTAGTGCGTTTTTTGCAAACCCTTCCCCTGAGCGTGTTCCTCCCCCCAAGCCTCCTTCAGGGCGTTTCGCCCCAGGAATGAGGGCAGGAATTGGCCCGGTGCTTGCCCCGTGGCCGTGCAGAGCGAGAAGGCGTTCAGACATCGTTATAAATCACCTTCCCTCCTACGGTGCTGCTCAGCAGCAACATAAAATGTGATACTGCTTTATCCATTCAGCACTTACCCAACTTTAGCAGGACATTAAGCGCCTGAAAATATGCCACAGATTTATTTTCCTTGGAAGCGGGTTAAATCCCTGACAGATACAGTTGCTTTTCCTCGGGTGCTGAAGTAATTTGGGGCTGGGGTGGCTGGTTTTTGTGTTTTTTTTGTTTTAACCTGATAGCATGAGCTGGAGGCCAGCTTTGTTAAATTGCTTGTAGAGTAGGTGGTCAGGGTACAATTTCTCTCTTAATTTATATCACTTCTCCTGTTCCCAGGCCAATGCTCACGGCACTAAGGGGCTGCTGGAGTGTTGGCTGCAGAGCGATGCTGGTGTCAGTGCTCCTGGCTGCGTGGCTGTGGGCAGGTGTGTGCGGGCAGGTACGCGTCTCCCCAGCATCCTTCCTTTGGCAACAAGCTTGATCCCATCCTGTGTAGGCTGAAGAGAGACATTCAAAGCCTCCTGCAAGCTCTCGGGGCAGGGATGCTTGGAGCAAGCCCCGTGGTGCTGGTGGCACAGGGCTTGAGCGCTGTGGATGGTGCACAGTGGCTGCAGAGTCAGAAACAGGGACCTTCCACCGCTACCAGTTCTGTGTCAGATTCCTCCGAGGGGCATGCCAGGGAGAGAAGGGTGCTGGTGGCACCCTAAAATGCAAAAGTGGGGCCAAGCTGAGCCGCGGCGTCTCTGTGATGTCCAGCAAACTGTGTCCAAGCTGCAGCATTTGCCATGGTGGGAACGAACAGCTCGCCCCAGGCTGTCGGAAGCATCGTCCCAG